TTTTGTGAATTTTATTAATTATTTTTTTCTTGTAGTGAGGAATACATTAAAGGTGATCCTTATATTCGAGATATGAGAAAAACCAGGTGATTTAATTGTTTTAAGCAATTCTATTTTTCTATTTCTTCTATGTTATTATTTTCTTTCTTTCACTAATTTTTATAAATGTATTCTTTAGTGGACACATAGCATCTTTAACATCTGGAGGTTGGCATCCAAGTGATAAGCAAACTTTTATTACAAGTTCTAGTGACAGTACTATAAGGTTATTTTTAATAGTAATTGTAACAGTAATTGTAATAATTGTAATAATTGTTAATAATTGTTAATAATAGTATTGATTATTTTTATTTTTAGAATATGGGATGTAGGAACTAAACGTAAACAAAAAAGTGTTCTTGTACATAAATCCAAGGATCGTGGTGGAAGAAGCACTGTGACAACTACTTGTTATAGTCCAGATGCAAAATTGATTGCTGGTGGTTAGTGTAAAATTTATTATAATTTAATTTATAATGTTTATTATTTATTTTAATAATATTTATTATTTATTTATTTTAATAATATTTATATTTATCATTTATTTATTTTAATAATATTTATTATTTATTTATTTCATAATATTTATTATTTATTTTATATTTATTTTAATAATATTTATTATTTATTTATTTTACAATATTTATTATTATTGTTGTTGTTGTTATTATTAGCTGCGCAGGATGGAAATTTATTTTTATGGTCAGCAAATGGTCCTTACGTTCGTCCTTCTCATGTAAAGTTTGATTATTTTTTTTTTTTGCGAAATTTTTAAATTCTTGTAAATACAAATTTATTCATAAATTATTTATTACATTTTAAAAATATTATATAGTTGATAGAAAATGCACATCGACCATATAGTGAAACATCATCTATAATTTTTTCTAGAGATAATTATACAATGGTTACCAGAGGTGGTGATGATTGTGTCAAAGGTTGGCATATTCTGAATATTTATTTAATGTTTATTGAATGTTTATTAAATTTTTATTAAATATTTTATTGAAAATTTGAAACTTATATACTTTAGTTTGGGATGTAAGAAATTTCAAATCTCCTTTATCTCATGCCCAAAATTTGCCAACATTTAATGTAGAGACAAATGTTATATTCAGTCCTGATGAACGAATGATTATCACTGGTATATATTTTTAATGATATAAATTGGTGTTTCTTAAACAGTAAATTTCTTATTCTCAATAATCCTTTATATTCAATAAAAATAAGGTGTTGCTGTTAAAAAAGGAGAAGGTTATGGAAAATTAGTAATGATGGATCGTAATTCATTAGAAATCGTGAGAACAATGAGTATGTTTAATTATTTACAGTAATAATAATCCAAGTTTTAATATTTGTTTTAATACTATTCTAATAATATTATTATTGTTAATTCTTATAATTTCATTTCTTTCTTTTTTTACAGGTATTACAAAATCAAGTGTTATTCGAGTATTATGGCATTCTCGAATAAATCAAGTATGAAAAATTACTTCATCTTAATCTTTAATATAATATAAATATAATATAGTATAATATAGTATAATATAGTATAATATAGTATAATATAGTATAATATATTTTATTGACATGTATATATTTATCTAAATTTTATTTTTTTATATAGATTATGACAGGAAGTGCAGATGGATCAGTTCATGTATTTTATGATCCAAATATTAGTGTTCGTGGTGCTAAACTCTGTGTAGTAAAAGAACCCAAGAAACGAGCTGTTGATGATTACGAAATAAATCGTCCAATTATTGCTCCTCATTCATTATCATTATTTAGAAATGATAGACCTAAATCAACTAAGAGACAAAGAGAAAAATTACGTAAAGATCCTATTGCTTCTCATCGTCCTGATTTACCTGTTAGTGGACCTGGTAAAGGAGGTAAAATTGGTAGTAGTTTAACTCAACATATAATGAGCGAATTAATTAAAGATACTACTAGAGGTATGATTATATTTATTTTATTTTATTATTATTATATGTATATATTTTTTTTTATTTATTTATTTTAAATAAAAGAAAATTAAACATCTTTTTTCCAAAAAAAAAATAGATGTCGATCCAAGAGAAGCCTTATTAAAATATGCAAAAGTTTCTGAAGGTAATAATCATATTTTATTTTATCAAATTTTTAGTAATAATTCTCAACTCATTCACTAATTAATTATTTTTATTCTTCATAGATGATCCACAATGGATTGGAGAAGGTAATAAAATTACATTTTATATAGAAATCAATATAAATATAAATATTTATATACACAAT